TTGTATTTTATTGTATTTTATTGTATTTTATTGTATTTTATTGTATTTTATTGTAATTTTATTGTATTTTATTGTATTTTATTGTATTTTATTGTATTTTATTGTATTTTATTGTATTTTATTGTATTTTATTGTATTATTGTATTTATTGTATTTTATTGTATTTTATTGTATTTTATTGTATTTTATTGTATTTTATTGTATTTTATTGTATTTTATTGTATTTTATTGTATTTTATTGTATTTTATTGTATTTTATTGTATTTTATTTATTTTATTGTATTTTATTGTATTTTATGTATTTTATTGTATTTTATTGTATTTTATTGTATTTTATTGTATTTTATTGTATTTTATTGTATTTTATTGTATTTTATTGTATTTATTGTATTTATTGTATTTTATTGTATTTTATTGTATTTTATTGTATTTTATTGTATTTTATTGTATTTTATTGTATTTTATTGTATTTTATTTATTTTATTGTATTTTATTGTATTTTATTGTATTTATTGTATTTTATTGTATTTTATTGTATTTTTTGTTTTATTGTATTTTATTGTATTTTATTGTATTTATTGTATTTTATTGTATTTTATTGTATTTTATTGATTTATTGTATTTTATTGTATTTTATTGTATTTTATTGTATTTTATTGTATTTTATTGTATTTTATTGTATTTTATTGTATTTTATTGTATTTTATTGTATTTTATTTTTTATTGTATTTTTATTGTATTTTATTGTATTTTATTGTATTTTTATTGTATTTTTATTGTATTTTTATTGTATTTTTATTGTATTTTTATTGTATTTTTATTGTATTTTTATTGTATTTTTATTGTATTTTTATTGTATTTTTATTGTATTTTTATTGTATTTTTTATTGTATTTTTATTGTATTTTTATTGTATTTTTATTGTATTTTTATTGTATTTTATTGTATTTTTATTGTATTTTTATTGTATTTTTATTGTATTTTTATTGTATTTTTATTGTATTTTTATTGTATTTTTATTGTATTTTTATTGTATTTTTATTGTATTTTTATTGTATTTTTATTGTATTTTTATTGTATTTTTATTGTATTTTTATTGTATTTTTATTGTATTTTTATTGTATTTTTATTGTATTTTTATTGTATTTTATTGTATTTTATTGTATTTTTATTGTATTTTATTGTATTTTATTGTATTTTTATTGTATTTTTATTGTATTTTTATTGTATTTTTATTGTATTTTTATTGTATTTTTATTGTATTTTTATTGTATTTTTATTGTATTTTTATTGTATTTTTATTTTATTTTTATTGTATTTTTATTGTATTTTTATTGTATTTTTATTGTATTTTTATTGTATTTTTATTGTATTTTTATTGTATTTTTATTGTATTTTTATTGTATTTTTATTGTATTTTTATTGTATTTTTTATTGTATTTTTATTGTATTTTTATTGTATTTTTATTGTATTTTTATTGTATTTTTATTGTCTTTTTATTGTATTTTTATTGTATTTTTATTGTATTTTTATTGTATTTTATTGTATTTTTATTGTATTTTTATTGTATTTTTATTGTATTTTATTGTATTTTTATTGTATTTTTATTGTATTTTTATTGTATTTTTATTGTATTTTTATTGTATTTTTATTGTATTTTATTGTATTTTTATTGTATTTTTATTGTATTTTTATTGTATTTTTATTGTATTTTTATTGTATTTTTATTGTATTTTTATTGTATTTTTATTGTATTTTTATTGTATTTTTATTGTATTTTTATTGTATTTTTATTGTATTTTTATTGTATTTTTATTGTATTTTTATTGTATTTTTATTGTATTTTTATTGTATTTTTATTGTATTTTATTGTATTTTTATTGTATTTTTATTGTATTTTTATTGTATTTTTATTGTATTTTTATTGTATTTTTATTGTATTTTTATTGTATTTTATTGTATTTTTATTGTATTTTTATTGTATTTTTATTGTATTTTTATTGTATTTTTATTGTATTTTTATTGTATTTTTATTGTATTTTTATTGTATTTTTATTGTATTTTTATTGTATTTTATTGTATTTTTATTGTATTTTTATTGTATTTTATTGTATTTTTATTGTATTTTTATTGTATTTTTATTGTATTTTTATTGTATTTTTATTGTATTTTTATTGTATTTTTATTGTATTTTTATTGTATTTTTATTGTATTTTTATTGTATTTTATTGTATTTTTATTGTATTTTTATTGTATTTTTATTGTATTTTTATTGTATTTTTATTGTATTTTTATTGTTTTTATTGTATTTTTATTGTATTTTTATTGTATTTTTATTGTATTTTTATTGTATTTTTATTGTATTTTTATTGTATTTTTATTGTATTTTTATTGTATTTTTATTGTATTTTTATTGTATTTTTATTGTATTTTTATTGTATTTTATTGTATTTTATTGTATTTTTATTGTATTTTATTGTTTTTATTGATTTTTATTGTATTTTTTATTGTATTTTTATTGTATTTTTATTGTATTTTTATTGTATTTTTATTGTATTTTTATTGTATTTTTATTGTATTTTTATTGTATTTTTATTGTATTTTATTGTATTTGTATTTTTATTGTATTTTTATTGTATTTTTATGTATTTTTGTATTTATTGTATTTTTATTGTATTTTTAATTGTATTTTTATTGTATTTTTATTGTATTTTTATTGTATTTTATTATTTTATTGTATTTTTATTGTATTTTTATTGTATTTTTATTGTATTTTTATTGTATTTTTATTTTATTTTATTTTTATTGTATTTTTATTGTATATTTATTGTTTTTTTATTGTATTTTTTTGTATTTTTGTTGTATTTTACACAAAACCTACTTTTATTTATGAAACTCCAGATGATGAATTTCTCATTTTAGATGTTATAGAATATAATTTACACTTAAATACACTAAAATAAAAATTATTTTTAAAAAACCTTTAATAAGTAGTAGATAAAATGTTGTATGACACACGTGTGTGAAGTTTTTTACAGCTCGTGCTCTAAAGGATATCTTTACATACTTGTATCATAAATTACTATTATCGCGATAATTTTTTTTTTCTATTTTTTTTTTCACAAATACAAATATATTTCATCAAGCAAAAACTTTTTTTTAATAAATAAAAGTTCTCATCCGTTAAGTTTTTTTGGTTTCTGTTAACAATAATATTTTATTTGTTTTAAATTCATGCATAGAATATAATTTTAATTCTTTTTGAAAATCACTTTGTTACATTCACTCAGACAGATGCAAATTACTCTTTAGCAACCAACAATTAGTTGTAATCGAACCTGTGTCTACATCTAACGGTGAAAAGCCCATTCCGATTTTGAATTCTACTGAAACTAGGGCACTGAATATTGATTTTATCTTCATTCCACGATTTGAGACGGTTTGAGGATTTGAGCGGTTTAAGCAAAAGATTATTCATATTACTAACAGAACACTGTAAAATTTTGAAAGGTTTTGTTTGTAAAAAATTATGTGACATCTAGTAGGTATGCAATGTTTTCAAGTAAAGTTCCTATAAAGAAATCTGTAAGATAAAAAGGTAAAATTAGGTCTAAACATCTACGATTCTTTACTGTAACTATTTGACAGCTGAGCTGTCGCCACCAAGGGTAACAGTTAACTGTAAGTTTAATAATAAGTTCATAGATTGCGGTAGTTGTACATTTCAGTAAATTAAATTGACTACACCATAAAGATTATGCAATTCTGAAAACAATAATATCCTGGTCGATTGTCCTACGAATTGAGTAATTATATAATCATAGATATTTATATAATTTTAAAAATTATTTATATTAAATGTTTTATTTACATACGAGGTGCATTTTTCTCACTAGTTCGGTGAGTGGTATAAATCAGAAATTTGAAACCGTAATATCTTTTTTCGAGAAGTATAAAATAAATTGTTTTTTTTTATAGATTTTAATTTTCTGATATCATCTTTAGTCCATGTCCATATAAGTTTGTAAAATGTCAACTCCTATGGATACGTTTTATTTTTTTTGTGCCCATACCAGTTATAATTAAAGATCAACAATACTAACATTGTAAAATTTTGTAGAGAAATCTTTGTGACTTCTTTTAAAGAACCTCTAACGTGAATTTTAAATAAAAAATTTCTTTACTCTTTTATTATGAAATTAACCCCCAAAAAAGGCAAATTCCACTGTGTCTAATGTTTGATACTATTCTGTTATGTTGAAAATACATATTTACGTAGATTTTTTTATTTCTTTGTAATATTTTTATAATTTGATCTAATTAACTTTTCGTAAGGAAATATGAAATCAACATATTTCTATATAAAAGAACAAAGATATATTTTCAATAACAGTTAAAAAAAAAAACTCTTAGGAAGGCTTTTTCCGATTAATACGTCAGCTTATTTACAGTAAATCGTTAAATATAAATTAACAATTAATTTACTGTAAACACCTACGTTTTTGGTATTTAAATTTGTGTACGCCTATGCGATAAAGCTGTGATAAACAAGTCTCTGAGTTATATCTATAAAATAATGAATGAAAAACCAGATTTACTACTACTACTACTACTACAACAAATATCGATTTTCTTACTGCGCGGTAGTTAGATCTCACATAACATATGACAAAGAATGCATTACTACTGTTAAGAACTCCGTAAACTTGGCTGCACTGTTAAATCAGAATATTACGTTTCTGCCAAGCACGCTTAGATTGTGAATCCGTGTTGGCTTCAAAAATTTTGTAAACAATCCTATCTGTCTCGGTTAAATCGAATTAAATAAAAGTACACGACACATCTCTTCGCAGGCAATCGCCTTGAGGTGCGTTTAGTACAGAGAGGCTACGTCACAGATAGGAGGATCCAATATAGACTACGAGGGCTCTCTGAGAATTTGTTATTAAATTTCACATAACATAGTACGTAAACGTATGTAAAAAATAAATCAAAATACTGTAAGTTAAAAACAATTTATTCAAAGTAATGTTTTAATTGAAAATTTTAATGATATTAGTACCATTAGCATCTTTCGCTAAAATATCAACAAAGATTCTGGTTTTGCTGGTATAAAATTGTACGCAGGCTCCGGCAACATTCCATCCATTTTCAATCGGGTAAAAATCTTGGAACAGATCAGAGAATGCCTCGGCACGAGACAAGGGGTTGTTGGGATACAAAACCCATGCTTCGGAGAGAGCTTGAACAGCATGCAGCTCGTATCGAATTTCGGGGACGTTGCTGTCACTAATTGAAAACTGAAAATTAGTAAAAATAATATAAGTTAAAGTTTTTAATTTTTCATTTGATTTTTCAAAGTAGTATTGTAGCAATAGATAAAAGGTTAAACTCATTCT